ATAGTGGTACCATCTTCTTTCTTTCTTTTTTTTTTTTTTAAGATTTTATTTATTTATTTGATAGAGAGAGACAGCGAGAGAGGGAACACAAGCAGGGGGAGTGGGAGAGGGAGAAGCAGGCTTCCCACTGAGCAGGGAGCCCGATGCGGGGCTCGATCCCACATGACCTGAGCCGAAGGCAGACGCTTAACGACTGAGCCACCCAGGCATCCCCATTTTATTTCTTAAAAACAAAATAGGCAGCAAACGTGTAAAATGTAGCATTTGTTAATCAGAGTGTGGGGAGGGTGGAATCAGAGTATTCAGGTTTTTTTCTCTAAGTTTCAAGTATTTTTTAGTTAAAGTTTTTAAAAGTTTATATTCCAAGGAAATTCACCACCAACCGCAGCACGACTGTGAGACATGACTCCACAGAAAGCTGGATAAGGATCACAAATGTTTAGATGAGTAGTGATCAGAAAGGACCCAGATCTGTTTGCCCCAATGTTATCAATAATTTGATGAGGTAATGAGGTAAAGGGAGTATAGAGAAGAAAAACCAGGAATATATGTCTAAACGAACCCCAACCTGACACTATTCAGGTAAGGCAAATTGGCTGGTTTCATTGCCCAGGCACCAGGCTTTATTTTTCTCTCTTCAATTTCTTCCATTCTCCCAAAAAACCTCATGAAAACCGAACTACTAATTAGCAAAAAGAAGGTAGAGACAAGAAGCAGCAAAAATACTTTTTCATGTCATAGATAAGATGTATCAACTATTAAAAGTGTAAGTGGTTGGGCGCCGGGTGGCTCAGTGGGTTAAGCATCTGCCTTGGGCTCAGGTCATGATCCCAGGGTCCTGGGACCGAGCCCCACATCAGGGATCCTGCTTCTCCCTCTCCCTCTGCCTGCCTGCCTACTTGTGATCTCTCTCTCTCTGTCAAATAAATAAATAAAATCTTAAAAAAAAAAAGTAAAAGTGTAAGTGGTAGGAAATGTAATTCTTTTGCTGCTCTTGAAAAACAAGTTACTTGGCCTATTATATCATTCTCCAAAGATTCATTGAGAAAAGTCACACTTTTCTCTCAAGTCATATGGCTCTGTGGAGCAACACAAAATGTTGTGTTATACACTAAGATCTTTCATGTTTACTAGGTTTTTGCTCTCATATTACCACAGTATTAAACATGAGATTACTACCAATACAAGACTGCAGCAAAAAATAATCATGGAGGGGATGGGGGGAAAGGAGGATGGAATGTCACACTTTCAACAGGCACAAAGAGATAAAACATCTAATTTCCAGTTAATAGGAATTAGGAATAAATTAAATGTCACCACAAAGGGAAAAAATTTCAGGCAATAATACGAAATGGGATATTCTATATCTGGACGTGGTCTCTTCAAAAGGTAATATACACAGAAAGATTTTTACAAGAATGAATGTCCACGGTAGCTTTATCCATGACAACCACCACCTGGTAACAACCCAATGGCTAGAGAATGGCTAAAGATGTTGTCATATACACATACAATATAAAGGAACTGATACACACAGTAACACGGATGACTCTCAAAAATATGCTGAGCAAATGAAGCCAGACACAAAATTTACATACTACATGGTTCCATTTAATATGAAATTCACATACTGGCAAACTAATCTATAGTAATAGAAATCAGAATAGTAGTTCCCTCTGCATGGGGCTTGACGGGGGCACAAGGGAATTTCCTAGGGTGATAGAAGTGTGCTAAATTTTGACCTAAGTGATGATTACATGAGTGTATGAATTTATCTAAATACACTGGGGGGCGGGGGGAGGAAGGAAAGATCATGGGAATGAAAAAGTAGAGCAACTCTGTATTAAAATGGACTAAAAAGACCTAACAACCAAATGCAACATGTAAACCTTGATTGGATCCTGGTTTTAAAAAATTAACTATGCAAGTTATTTGTGGGACAACTGGGAAGACTTGAATGTGCACTAGATATTAACAAATTGTCACTCATGATCTTAAGTGTATTAACAGTACAGTGGTTATGCAGAACAATGTCCTTATTTTTAGAAGATGTGTGTTGAAGTATTTAGGAGTGCCGTATTATGATACCAACAATTTACTTCCAAATTTTCAGCCAAAAAGCCACATTTATTTTGTACATACACATATACTTATGTACGGATAAATCAAATTAATGTACATAGGTCGTGGGATATAGTCATTCATTGTACTATTCTTCTAACTACTCTGTATGTTTGAAAAATGTCAATAAAAAGTTGGAAAATAAAGATGCCAACTTTTTATAGATACAGAGATAAACTGAAGAAAAACAGCGAAGTACAGAATAGTTTATATGCTACCTACTATATAAGAAAGGAAGCAAAGAAAAAATATATGTGAGGGGAATGGTGTGTATATGTATCTATTTGGTTATTACAAAAGGAAATACTAGAAGAATAATTCAGAAACCAATAAAAATGATTACCTACAGCAGATGAGTATGGATGGGAAATAAGTTTGAGGGCTGGATGTGAGACTGCTCTGAGTATAACATTTTGTAGGTTTTGACTTTTATACCATGTAAACATAAAAAATTAAATTGAAAAGAAAAAACTAAAATTTAAAAGAAGATGTTAAAAGTATCTAGGGTCATATAATTCTTCTATTCAATCAAGGCCAAATTAATCAAGCTTGCTTAACTTGTATGGTTGCTGATGGTCTTTTTTGCTCCTTCTCAGCATCAGAGCCATTTAACAGGCCTTTTGCTGGTCAGAAAACTTAGCATCTTGTTGCAGATCTGCCCCTAGTTTTGCAACCCTAAATAAATAACTAGCCATGCTAAGCCCTTCCTGTAAAACAGAATTAAATTCAATGATATCTAAGATGCTTACAACTGTAAAATTCTGTGACTCAGGTGTTTGTTGAAAAAAGTTAAATAGGAATGTTTCCACCTGCATAATTTCTTCAGCTTCAATGAAAACAAAGCTCCATTATACTAAATTCACTTTCTGCAGTACAACCAGCACTGAGGAAGAGAGGTACCGAAATCAAAAGTATTTCTGCAACTCCTTCGGGCAGTAATCAGTTACAACAAAGCACTTCCTCTTGAAGATCCTATTGGCAGAGGAGGCCGCAGCGGCCAGTAACAAAGTCTGGTGAGGAGTTTTACTAACTGCTCCAGGCCAAGCCGTTAAGGAAGCTTCGTGTATTCTTTTGCTAAAGGAATCTTACTTTACAAAGAAGTTGCTAATCTTTGGCAGCTGTGGGATAAAAACATCCGAAGCTAGGACTGTAGTTTCCCACACAGCACAGTAAAATCTCTGTGGGTTTAGAGATAAACCAAGAGTGCCAGAAATATTCTTCCCTTCCACTCTGCCTCACACTCTGCCTTACCCAGCCTTGCCTTCTTTAAGACCTAACAAAAGATCTAGAACTGTCTTGTGACTTCCCTGGAGGTAACGTGGACTGTGTTACTGTGGCCTCATTCTAATTCAAGGAAGGACAGCCACGAAAGCAGGGGATGGCCAAGGGTGGGTTAAGTGGACAGAGAAGCCATGCCTGCAGGAAGAAGTGGGGAGGACTTCTTGCTGCAGCACTCAGAGGCATGGTGTTGGATACATAAGTACCCTCACACATACATACCTGCCCCAGTTTTGCTGGGAGATCAGAGTTGAGAGGTAATAGGGCTTAGGGGAGGTGGAAGGAGAGAAAAGGGTCTGAATGGCGAATTTTGGTTCCAAACTGCTGGCACATCTGAAATGGGAGTATGGAAAGGTTCTCTGGGGATTCCTCTAGAAGAGCAAGCTGGAGCTTTCGTCTGAATACAAGAATGAGAAGGTTCTGTAAAAGTGAAGAGGAGGGAGTTTAAAAACCCTTGGAAACGGGGCGCCTGGGTGGCTCAGTCGGTTAAGCGACTGCCTTCGGCTCAGGTCATGATCCTGGAGTCCCGGGATCGAGTCCCGCGTCCAGCTCCCTGCTCAGCAGGGAGTCTGCTTCTCCCTCTGACCCTCCTCCCTCTCATGCTCTCTGTCTCTCATTCTCTCTCTCTCAAATAAATAAATAAAATCTTTAAAAAAAAAAAAAACCCTTGGACGGCTCTTCTGAGATAATTAAGAGGGATGGAGATTTCTCATACCATGGAGAGGTCCAACCTCTTTCACTTAAGGAAGGACATGGGGGTTCAATGCCTCAACTGGATTTCCACAGCAGGTTTGGGGACAGGATCCTCTTGAGCAAGTCTGGAGAATGACTGTGGGTGGGGTTGCTGGTCCTCTCCAGCAAGTTCAGAGAATGAGTAGTTTCTCTGTAAAAGTTGGTGCCTTTGTTGGAGTGGCAAGAAGGATAAGGGATCCCTCTCACCTCCGGGAGGGTCTGGGGATTGGAGGGACCTGAAATGGTTTCTGAGGGGTTGGCCCTGGGGGCAGATGGCAAGGTGCTTTGTGCAATGCTGACACAATTTGGTTGCAGGGTGTGAGTATCCCACACTGAAGACTGAGAGTAAAGGCTCCTTCACCAATCAGAAGCTTGGAAATTTGTCTGAAAGAATCTGCCCGCAGTGATTTGGGAAGAAAAGTCCCCCTTGACGACCGGAGAGAATCGGGGTTCTCTAAGAGAACTCTCTAAGAGAACAAGAGCAGAGAAGAGGAATTTAAAGAGAAGCTCCCCATCCCAATTGACTGGAAAGTTAGGGGCAGGAGAGGAGGGGCTTTCTGAAGTGGTTTGGAAATAATCTGAAGGAACCCAAACTGGAAGCTGGGCTAGAGCGAGAAGAGCCGAGGAGGGGGGCCGGGGTGGGGGGAGACAGAGCTCTGCGTGGCTGGAGTGGGAGGGCCTTCAGGATTTTGAAGTGGGAAGAGACAGAGGTGACACGGGTCAAGACTCCCGAGGGATGATTCGGAGGGTAAAGGAGTTTTTGAAGTGACTCGGGGTTCAAGGAGGTGAACGAGGGAGGCGTCCCCGAGTAAATGCCGGAGGCTCACCGATACCCAGGCGCGGGGGTGGGGGGCACGACCGGTACTCACAGAGCGGATCTCCAGCGCCAGGGCGCATTGCAGCGCCTTCACCTTCGGCATCCGCGCGGGGTCAGGCGGCGGGGAGGGACCCCGGCCGCGGGCCCGAGTGAGACGAGGAGACGCGGGGCGGGGCGGGGACGGGGAGGAGACGAGGTGGCGGCGGCGGTGGCAGCTGTGGCCCCCAGGCCGGGGCCCGCGGTCCAGCCTGGGTCCCGCCCGAGCAGCAGCTGTGCGCGGGGCGCGGACTCGTTGTCATGGCAGCCAGGAGGGGCGGGGCCGGAAGAGAGGCGGGGCGGGGAAGCGCCGGAGCCGCCACTCCAGGACTAGAGGTGGGAGGCGGGGCTCGGCGAACGCCAGAGGCGGGGCCACGCGAGGAGGCGTGGCTTCCGGAGGAGCGGGGTGGGGCGGGGCAGTTCTTCTATGACATCAAACCGTGGGCTCAAAGCCAGACAAAGGAGAGAATAGCTAGCTGTTTGTGTAGTGGGACAGTGCGCAGGTCAGGGAGTTGGACTCAGGAGCCCTGAGTTCCAAGGTGGCAATGGCACCTTGGGCTAGTGGAGTCCCAGTGAGGCTTCAGTTTCCCCAACTGTAAAAGAATAGTAATTATTATTGATTCTCTATTTGAATTTCACAGTACAGTTTACAAAGCCAGCATGAGGAAATTGAAGATTAGAGAAGAGGCTTGCCCAGAAGAAGATAAAACTAGGACTGGAACTCAGGACCTTTCATGAAAATCCGTTGCCTCCCTGAGAACTGAGGCGTGAATCAGATCACATTCCTCTTTCTAGTTTCCCACTCTGATTCTGTTAGTGTGTCCCCCTCTCCCTTCAAGGTTTCCCAATTCACTGCATATGCATCTCAATGTATATTGCTTAAACTGAACTGTCAATGCAGAGCCAACAATAAATCCATTTGGGAAGGGCTTGGGCCATAAACCATCAAAGATGACAAGAAGCTAAGAGATTGTCCAATCCAGTCTTTTTTTCAAAAATAATTTTTATTGTGAAATACATTATACATAGAGAAGTGTATAAAATATGTTCATCTTAAACAATAAAGCAAATAACTGGGCAACTAACACACAGGTTAAGAAATAGAACATTACTAGCACCTTAGAAATGCCCCAACGATTGCATTGCCTTCCTTCCCCTGGGAGAAACCACTCCCCTACTCCCCGACTTTTGTTACAATAATTCCCTTACTTTTCTAAATACTTTTGCTATTCATGTATGCATTTATTTTTTAATTTTTTGGAGGGGAGGGTCAAAGGGAGAGGGAGAGAGAGACTCTTAAGCAGGCTCCATGCCCAGCACGGAGCCAGACATGGGGCTCCATCTCACCCTGAGATCATGACCTGAGCTGAAATCAAGAGTCAGATGCTTAACTGACTGAGCCACCCAGGTGCCCCTCATGTGTACGTTTCTAAACTAGATGTTTTTAATTTGTTTCCTGTTATTGAGGTTATATAAATGAAATTATACCAGTTGTATTTTTCTTTGACTTGCTTCTCTCACTATTACGTTGTGGAATTCACCCAATATTGATGCTGTGTAGCTGAAGTTTTTTTATTGTTGGATAGTACTCCAATATATTGAATATTTATTCTTTTTACTATTGATGGTCACTGGCACTGTTTCCATTTTTAGCTATTACCAACAATGTTGTTATGAACATTCTAGTACATGTCTAATAGTGCATGCATGTTCCAGTAGGAGTGGATTACCTGGGTATGAAGTTTTGTACATGAGAGTTTTTAATTGGTAATGCCACACCATTTTCCAAACTAGTTGAACCAATTTATGTTCCTGCTGGGAGTGTATAAGAGTTCTTGTTTTCCCACATCCTCACCAACATTTGGTATTGTTTAGATCTTTTAATGTTTATATAGTTGAGTGTGTATAGTCCAGGTATCTCACTGTGGATTTGTTTTGCATCTCTTATTATTATTATTATTGAGATTCAGCACCTTTTCATGGTTTTATTAGTCTTGCCATTTTCTCTTTATGAACTGCCTACTAGTTCTCTTGCTATTTTTTTAATTAGATTGTTTTTCTCTTGCTCACTTTCTCTCTTGCTCCCTTGCTCGCTCGCTCTCTCACTGATTTACAGGAGTTCTTTATATATCCTGGCTACTAATTCTTCATCAATTATATGTGTTAACAAATATCTTCCCCAGTTTGTGCTTAGGTTTTTTCAATTTTCCATATGGTATATGATGAACAGAAGAGAAATTAAGTCATGGAGTATGGATAGTCTTAGTTTGACCCAAAAATTCCAAGTCGCTGTCCAGAATACCATGCCAGTCTATATACTCCCACCATCCAGTGAATTTTTCATTTCAGTTAATGTATTATTCAGTTCTAAAATTTCCACGTGGTCTTTTTCTTTTCTTTAGTTTTCACATGACTACTGAGATTCCCTATTTGTTACTCATTAGGACCATATTTTCCTTTACCCTTTGAATATATCCTTTTTTATTTCCTTGAGAATATTTACAATAGCTGCCTTAAAGTCTATATAGGTTATATCCAACATCTGTGCCATGTCAAGTTCTGCTTCTACTAACTGAATGTTTTCATAACTATGCATTGCATTTTCCTGTTTCTTTGTATGTCTAGTGATTTTTCTTATTGAACACTGGATATTTTGAATAACACATTGTAAGAACCTGGATTCTATTATCTTTCTCTGAAGGGTGTTGATCTTTATTTTAGCAGGCAGTTTAATTATGGGGTGATTACCTTACACTTATACAGACTTAGTGATATACTTCACTAGTGCAGATATGTGGAAAGCCCAATATGCTCTAAAAGCCCATCTAACTTGGTAGGACTCAACTTCCAAACTCTGTCTCTTCCAAACTCTGTCTCCAACAGGCTTAGCTGTAGACCTTGTTCAGGTGAGTCTAGTGCAGGCCTAGCTCTAGGACATTGTTCTTTATACTAGAGTGCAGACTTTCTGGTGTATCAGCTGGATTCCAGGAGTATTATACAAAGTGTTAAAAAGATCTCTCCTCTGTGGAATGTTCAGTACTCCAATATCCCCAGTACTGCCTGATCTTAAGCATTTCTCTTCCGCTCTCAACCCCATAGCAGCTGCTAACTGGCAAGTCTCCGGTGATCTCACCCTGTGCCTGTAAAACTCATCCCTCAGCCTTGAACTTTTGGGGCAACCTCTCATAGGTTTCTGGGCTTTCTGTGCACAGCACCTGTCTTTGTCAGTGTGGGCTGCTGTAACAGAACACCATGGCCACCATAGTGACTTATAAACAATAGAAATTTATTTCTCACAGTTCTGGGAGCTGGAATTCAAGATCAGGGTGCAGTACAGTTGAGCCCTGGTGAGAGCCCTCTTCTGAGCTGCAGATGGCCCTTTTCTCATTTTATCCTCACACAGGAAAGAGGGTGAGAAAGTTCTCTGGGGTCTCTTTTATAAGAGCACTAACTGCATTCATGAGGGCTCCATCCTCATGACCTAATTACTTCTCCAGGGCCCCACCCACAAATACCACCACATTGGGGATTAGGATTTCAATGTATGAATTTGGAGGGGACACAAACAGTCAGTCTATAGCAACTAGTTTAAAGACATTCCCCCTCTGTCATAGCCTATAAGTTTCAGCCTCATACAAAAACTCAGCTGCCAATTACTAAGCCCCAGGCACGAAATTTTGGGTGAAAATTCTAATAGGCCCAAATTGCAGCATTGTGAACGGCACCACTATAATTAATGATGTCTCAGGAAGATTTATAATCACAGGTTGCAGATAAAACAGAAATAGTACGCTTCTGCACGTCCCCTCCTTTCATCCTTTATGAAACTTTATGGGAAATAAGTCCAATAAAAAATGTAAGCTCTTAATCTTTCCCAGAAATCCTACCTCATTTGATGAATACTTTGAGAGAATAAATTAGAGCTTTTTTTTTCCTTTCATACATCTGCTTTGCATTTATGAAGTGAGGATGGTAACTCAGGTTCCCTGGCCAAATGGTCAGAAAGCTAGAGGCATTTTTAAAGACTTCCATTGTCTTTCATTCATGTTCAATTCTCCATAAGGGAATTAATTTCCACCAAAGTCAGTGTCTTCATTAGTCATAAGACTATTAACGATAATAACAGCCATAGTAACTGTTCAGTGACAGTTCATTTAATATCAGGCATTGTACAAGGTACTTTGGATAGAGAATTATACACCTTAAACATCTCTACAAGGAAAGTATATGTATCCCCCTTTAATAAATGAGGAAACAAGCACAGAGTAAATTAACATGCCCATACTCACCCAGATAGTACCTGACGCAGCAGGCACTTGAACCTAAGTCTGCCCTTCGCCTGCTATAATTTATTAGTGTAATGTTATCTGTAACAAAATAACAATCCGCTTAAGAAACAATACAACCAAATAAATGTAACAACAGTGACTGTTATACTAATAGAATAGATGTTATATATATCATTATGATCTTGCATTTGAAAAGATACGTGTGTTCCTGAAAGCATGTTTTTGTCATTTAAATTGATTCTCAGGATGATCCTATATATTATAAAGTACAACTATTTCTAAACTTCTAGCACCTGACTGTGGGCTTATTTATCACTGAAAATGGTATGGAAAGTTTAAGAGAAACAAGACTTTAAAATTTTCTGATAGGAATAAAGAAATTTAAAAATAATAAAAAAAAGTTGTGATATAGTTTGGAATAAAAAGATCAAGCAGGAACCACCCTGTAGTAAGAATTTTCTTATGTTGTGTCAACTATACTTTAATTAAAAAAAAGAATTTTCTTATATAGAATTTTCTTGTATGAATTGTACTCCTTGGAAAAGTGTTTGAGCTTGAAATGTACTATGCAACCAGAATAATACATACCCAGAAGAATGTTTTGTTTTATTAATCTTGTCTCCCTATGTAAGATATGCTAGCCCAGTCAATATTAATTAGATTTCCATTCCTCTGATTAAGCTTGAGAAAGTAATAAGCAAATGAGGGTTCATTTCCAATTTCTCGTAGAACAGCCTTAAGGAAAATGGACATGTAACAGGCCAGCTTGCTTTTGAAAAATAAGAGGAAGGAGTAGAAGAACATACTCTAAAAGTTCTGAGCCCTAGTTACAAACTGGGCCTGATAGAATTGGGCATTGCTTCCAACCTGCTGGACGGTCTCCATTTCAGGAAAAATAAGGGCCTGGG